ACATATACATATTTGTATCGCAAGTATACCTACTATTAGCATCTGCTTTCGCAGTCAAAGCTATACAGCTGTCTGTATACTATATTGGTGAAGGGATATACGTCGTGGTTGTACTTCTGGCATCATACCCGTTTTTGCGCATATGACTTTAAGTATGGCCAACTGTCTTGAGACATCACGCTGCGTTTGCATTCGCACTGTAGTCAGGCTTCCTCTGTTCATTGGTGCGAAATGTGAACTTCACCACATGTTGCGTGAGGTCGGGACTAATAAACGTTTACCATTACTGATCCCCACACACCCGTGGTTGTACGTTGCATCTGGCCAGTTATTGCCTACCTACAATACAGCAACAGTCTCAACCAAGACCACGCGGATTGGCGCGAGCATGACTACGAGGACTCGATGATGCAATCCGACCCCATGTCTAGTATGCAGGGAATGGGGGGGATTGATACTATAGATACCACAGAAGCGCTGAGTATGGATAGCCGCAGTGACACCCTGGACAGTACAAGTACTGAGGGATATGGGCTCAGGCAGCGAGTGTATGGGAAGACCATGGACGATTAGATAGGAGAGGGGAGAAGGGTGGGTGTGGTTAGTGGACAGGAACGTTTGAGTAATAAAGATTATTAGGATTAGATAGGGAGACTTAGTATTGTGAGTGTATATGGAGAGTTGTCATTATGAGTGTATATGGAGAGTTGTCATTGTGAGTGTATATGGACAGTTGCCATTATGAGTATATATGGACAGTTGCCATTATGAGTGTATATGGAGAGTTGCCATTATGAGTATATATGGACAGTTGTCATTATTAGTGTATCTGGAGAGTAGTTATTATGAGTACCTTCAGTGTAATTTATTAATACAGGTATGCCTCACATTGTATGTATGTGAAAACAATGGACGATTAGATGGTACACGTGTATATATGGATTGGATTCGATCTCTGAGTAGCTAAGATTACGGCAGTTAGTTTATGGTGAGTTAATAATCAGTAGATGTACGCTTGTATATGTATAATGAATGTTTTCAACACCTGGGCGATAAAGATAATGTTATAGATTATACGCCTATATATGTATAATAAATGGATTCAGCCCCTGAGTACTATATGTAGTTTATAGTTATTATACCTCTATGTATATTGAATGGATACAGCCCCTGAGTACTATATATAGTTTATAGTTAATATTACTCTATGTATATTGAATGAATACAACCATGGATACAACCCCTGAGTACTATATATAGTTTATAGTTAATATAGCTCTATGTATATTGAATGAATACAACCCCTGAGTACTATATATAGTTTATAGTTTATATACCTCTATGTATATTGAATGAATACAAACCCCGAGTACTGAAGATTGCTATAGTTTACGACACAGCCAGGAGAAGGGGCCGCGACAATATAGACAACGACTCGCGTTGTAGGACACATGTCTGAGATGCAGTCTGGTGACATCGGAGACTACAATGTGGTTGCAAAATTATGGCCTGCACAGCCGTGATACCACTTGCCCTGGCAGAGGTATACAAGTAAATGCTTAGACCTACCTATGCATGTACATGCTTAGACCTACGCACGGATGTACCTCAGATCTATATAGATACAGGGGGGTGGGAGAAGGATAAGGATCGCTGTCACTATAGATACCTAGAGTGGAATTCTCAGACAGGCCTTTCCGCCCTTGCAAGCCGACCTCATCTGCCTTTGCTTGTACATAACACTATACACTCTTATAAACAATAAATAGACTCATCCGTGGATTTGTGTCGCAGAATCTGTCCGTTGTTACCTACACTCATTCGCGGCCAAAGTATCACATGGAAATACGTCTTCATAATCTGTACATAATGACGATACCTCTAACCGTTGCCCGAATGGGTATTACACATACCATTCACGGATTCGCCGAACTCTCTGTAGGAATAGTACTAAGCACCGTTGCACCGTGATGAAGGTCGATACAATAGACCAGTTTCGTGTGTTAAAGTAAGGCACTCAAGATCCGTAGGGGCGCTACTCCCCAAGTCTGACCTGGAATACCGATGAGAGTGAACTGATAACCTTAGCAGTCATCTCTCGCAGTGGGGCAGGCATCCAGGTCAATGCGCGAATGACCAAGCATGTCAGATTGTGCACTGATAGAACATACACACCCCATGATTGATAAGTAACTCGAGCATATACCAGCCATGCCTCCGAAGTATTGAGCGTACTTCATTCTCGATATGTTGGTTTATTCAGGTGTTGGTGTACTACATCAGACGATTTTTCAGGTGTTGGTATCGTTAAAAGAGAGCCGGAGCCATTCCTGTTATCTGTGCTTCCCTTTTTCGCTCTGTACATACCATGTCACGGTCAAAGTCTTCCTATAGTCACCTATCACCCACTACCCGACTCTCTTGTTGTTTTAACCAGCAGTAGTTCACAATAAAATCGGCCAAAATTGACGTTCCTAATTCGTAAAATTCAGGATTGGGCTCAGGGCACAGATGCTGCGACAGTCAACACTGTTGTCATGGCTACCAAGTACCAAACTCCTCTCTAGTGAGGACAACAGGTATCAACCCAGCTCCGTCGCACCATATGAGTTCTGGTAAAAAAAGTATCCCACACTTCCCGTACATACCACCCACCCACACATGAATTGTATGTATAGTGTGTATTCCCAACCCTCCCCCACACACATACACACACACAAATCGAGTCCTTACAGTTGTCCCGGCCCAAACAGATTGGGTTGGATTGTCCTGAGCAATGTGCATAGTCTGGGCTCGGAGAGCCTCGCGAGACACGACTTTCTATTCCAAGTACAACCCCATCTGAGGCATTTATGCTACATCGCCTATCGCAGACTAGGCCACTACAGTTAATATAGACTATGTTATGATGCGGTGCACATCAAGCCATAATAGTTATAATAGTTACAATAGTTATAATAGTTCTATTGTTCTGTTACGGTGTACGTTTGGTCGAAGTCTCCACTGCTGCCAGCCCCGCGACTGGCAAGGCGTGAGCTATGGAGTTGGATTGGGTTGTGAGAGCGAGTCTACTAGAGCCTGGTCCAACGCTGTAACCTTGAAAGACTATAGATAAGGCCTTTCAGCAGTCAGCGTGCGGGTCTGTTGGCAAAGCATCGCATTCGGTGTGTGTTAACATCAGTGTAATAGTGTATTACAAAGCACGGATGTATGTTATGTGCAATCGGCGTACCATGCATGCTCACTGCTCTCATGTGTTGTATGTACGCGAGGTCCGTATGCCGCGCTTATATGACGAGTTGTATAAAAAAATGCATCGACAGCGTGGCAAATGTATGTTCCTATGCCTCAGGTG